ACTTGACCCCTTGGTGCCCCCTATTTCCTGCTCACCTCCCTACTAATACCCATTCACTCTAACTGACTTGCAACGCGTTGAACGTCATTCTCCTCTAATGCAATGGCTGACTCAGCAACAACCAACTAATTGGCATTGGGCTCTTTTGCATTAAATCCTCTTCTCCTGCCTTTGTCTCTTACGTAGACTTTTTGCAATTGGGCCTTACGTAATTGGGCTCTATCACAAGCATCATCAATTTGAAGAAGCAGAATGAAGCATTTCTTTTGAAAATTGCTTGGCCCGTTATTCAGAATCCTAATCAACTTTGGTCGCAAGTCCTTATAGCTGAATATGGCAGAAAGATGGAGTTGAATAAACATTGCCTCAGTAAAACCTATGATTCTAAACTATGGAAGAATCTTGTCAAATATTGGCCTATTTTACTAGATAAGTTGCAGTGGAATATTGGAGATGGCAAAAACACCAATTTTTGGTTGGATAATTGGCTTGGGAGTATTCCAAAATTACTTAATGTTGCTGTTAAAAACCACCCACCCCCTTCTTATTACAGATGTTGTGGCTGATTGCACTGATACAGTTTCAGGCAACTGGAATTTTAATTTTTTGCATCACTTTTTTGTCCAGGGAACTGTTAATTTGATAGCAGCCATTCCCCCTCTATCTGATGAAGCTGGTAATGATCTGCTACATTGGACAGGTTCGAACCTTAAGTTATTAGTGGTTAAGCAGCCTTATTCAAGCCTAATGCACTTTGATTCTCTATCTTTGAATTTTCCTTGGGATTACATCTGGAAGTAGAAAGGTTCTGAGAAGTTTAAATTCTTGATTTGGAAGCTTGCTCACAGCAGAGTGCTCACCAAACAGTTGACAGCTAGATGCGGTAACACTTTTGACAAGTGCCCCAATTGTCATGACAAAATTGAGACTATCCTCCATGCCTTTAGAGATTGTCCCCTTGCCATTAAGATATGGAATTGTTCTCTATTTGCCTCAGCCTTCTTTTTTCTACAGTGAACAGAACCTGAGCTCTTGGTTGAAAAATTGTTTACTGTTTTAGGATATCAATTGCCCATATTGGAGGGATCTCTTCTTCACATCTTGCTGGTATATATGGCTCTGGCGCAACAAAGTTATCCATGACACTGATTTTAAGAGACCTGATGCTGTTAATATTGAAATTCAAAAGACCATTGATGACTTATTTAAGGCTAATTAGAGCTACTCTTCGAATATTAGCTACCGAAGATCCAACCTTTTATCTCATTGGGTGCGGCCAACCGCTGATTGGCTAAAAATCAATGTTGATGGTGTTGTTTCTAATCAGAAGGCTGCATGTGGTGGTCTTATTAGAAACAAAGATGGAGCTTGGGTTAGTGGTTTTAATGCTTTCCTTGGTTCTTGCTCTCCCGTTCATAATAATTATGGGCTATTTTCATGGTCTGGAAATGGCTTAGAAATTGGGTCTTTCTAAAGTTATAGTTGAGAGTGATTCTTCTCAAGCTATCAACTTGCTTACAACTTGTGGTAATGAAGCTCGAAAACTATCCCTGGTAGTTAGGATTCCAGCACTCCTTAGACAAGAACTGGTGCACTGATCTTTCTTTTGTCATTAGAGATTGTAACTGTTACGCAGATTGGCTTACTAAAGCTAGTCTTGCTAAGGTGCAAGGTTTCTATTTCCTCTCCATCCCTCCAGCTGAACTCCAGCAGCTGATTTTATCTGATGTCAAAGCATCAAATTTTCTGCCAATTGAGAAGGAGCCTGATTAGCTGTTGCTGTTCATGTTTATTTTTCTAGTTTTCTGCCATTTCTTCTTTTTTCTGTTCTATTTTTTCTTTTTTTCTTGTTGTTTGTTGGGGTCTTGCCCCTATCCTGTGCCAAAAAAAAAGATCTTATATGATAGCAAATGATGAATTTCCTCCGTATTAGTGTGAAACTTCAGGAAGAAAATTATTAGAACCAAAATTCAATCCAAAATTTTTGAGTGAACCCAATTGATTGGAAAATAAGTTTTAATCATTCGGAGAAGGTCACTCTCATCAAAGGAGAGAAAATTTTTATCCTCTAAGAAAATAGAACACATTTTCTTAGAAGTCACTCTACAATGGTAATTGCTAAGGCTTTCGAAATTCGAATACATATTCAAAATATTTTAGTTCTTGCAAAATTCTTAAAAGAGTAGGTTCGTTACATGTCTGATGGTATTTCCACCACTTATTCCCATTCTTTTTAATGGTTTTCATGTCCCTCACCTTAGGAATACATTCAAATATTCCATGCATGTGCCATCAATGAATAGTACAAGTGATTGGAAGGATAATTGTCCAAATAATATAAATAAGAATTCTTGTTGTCACTGTGAGGTGATGAGAATGATATTATTCTGTTGGCTAAAGAGTGTTTGGAAGATGTAGCACAGTGGAAGCTGTAGGGGATAAAGAAGATGAAATAAACAAAGGTATTCAAGAGTACATCTACAAGCATATATCTAAATTTTGATCACCAAACTTCTAAATATAGGATAGTACTTTAACACCCCAAAATCCTTACAAGTTATTACACATTTAAAAATGAATGTTGGAAGCATATATGTCGGGTTATTCAAGTGTAATGAGTACCACATTGATTGATAATAAGCTAAGTGAAGTGTATATAAGTGGAAGGACTCATAAACTAAATATCTTAAGGTTTTGGGTTAAGATGTAGCGTCAGACCCACTCAGTGTGATTGGTTTAGCTTAGTCCATTGGTGATAGTTCTCACCACGGGCTCTTCCATGTACCTGCTCGACTCTGGTATCGTAGCCGGGTTGGGCTCGAGCTAGCTAAGTGTTTGGCTAGGAGGCATGTTGATTACTATGAGTCTAGGTACTCGGTTGAGGGGGGAGTATATCAATGTTAGGTTTCACACTTGTGGGGGAGATTGTTGGGATATTCAAGTGGGCCTAGGTACTCAGTTAAGGGGGAAATATATCAATGTTAGGTTTCACACTTGAGGAAGAGATTGTTGGGATATTAAAGTGTGATGAGTCTCACATTGGTTGGTAACGCGCTAAGTAAAGTGGATATAAGTGGATGGACCCATGTACCCAATGCCTTAAGGTTTTGGATTGACACTTGGTGTCGGATCCACTTGCTGTGGTTAGTGTATTCTTAGCCCATTGGTGGTTGTCCCTGATAAACCCTTGGTTTATAAGGTTTTTAAGCATGAATTAGCTTAATTTGTGTGATTAAATGAATGGAAAAGAGGGTCAATGTCTTGGAAAGTCCTAAATACAAGTTCTGGAAGATGTATTGAAAATTTACATTGTTCTTGTAGCGAAATGAAGCTTAAGAAGCAAAAGAGAGAATGAAGAAGATTATGAAAAATGGGAGAATTCTAAGTGTTGAGCGCTAAAACGTCCACATCGAACGTTTTAGCGCGCTGCTGCAAAATGAAGCCAAAAATTGCTGGTGTCGAGCGCTAAAACATCCAATGCAAAGGTTTTAGCTCTCTGCTGTTCAAAAAGATTCTGGTCTTGAACGCTAAAACGTTCAAGTCAAATGTTTTAGCGCTGAAGACAGTTAAAAGCAATTGGGCATCCGTCAAAGTTGAACGCTAAAACGTCTAACAGGGAACGTTTTAGCGCCCATATCAGTTTTTGGTTGTTATTCAGTTGTAATTTGTAAACTATAAAAGGGAAAGAGCCTTCACATTTAGATATACATTCTGATCTGACTTTTTATTTTCTCTAAAATTCCAAATTCCTTAGGACCTAGTCTTGTATTAGTTTAGTATACTTTATGTAATTGGGATTAAAGATTGAAGATTCAACATCATGACAATGGAGTTTGATCTTTCCTCTTCTCTTATTATTTCTTTTATTATGTCTGAGTAGAGTCCCTTGTAGTCTGATTTTAATGGAACTCAAGGATGAATTTATGTATGGTTGATTGAATATTATGATTATTCTTTATGTTATGATATTGTTAGAATATTAGATATGATATGATTAGATTTGATTAGATATGATTGGATTCTGTCTTATCCGTAAATAGTCTGACTGTATTCTGACTGTATTAGGATTAGGTTTGGAATAGGTTTGGGCCTTACACTTAAGCCCATTAGGGTCTCTATATATTGTAACTTCCTGACACAGATCAATACACAACGTATTCTTTTACATTTAACTGATATGAAATTGTCTTTATCAATTCTTTCCATTTAAGGGAGTAGTGTAGAACAGGAATGTTTACATTATTTCTGTAACTAGCAATTTCATCATCAGTGTTCTAGTATTCAAGGGATTGAAACTAGGACTCTGATGTAATCTTTAAAATCTTAGTGCTTAATTTATGTATTAAGAAGGGAATCACCAAGGGATTGGGGTTCTTGATTAATGTATCAACCAGGGTAGTAAGGGATTACATCTTGGTGATAAGAAAAAGGTTGATTGACATCAGATGGGAGATAATTCATAATAGGATTGATGTTAATATAAGTTTATGCTTGAGGGACATTGATTTATGACTACTTGTTTTAAAATTATAATTCACATTTTAGTTATTTTATTAAGTTCTAATACAATTCAAATTTCTGGTGACAATTATCAATGCAATCAATAAATTTTTGTTTGATTCAACTTAAGTATAAATGGTTAGTTGGTGTTTGAACACAAATCCTCGTGGGAACGATCTTTATTTATCATTTTATTACTTGTACGACTAGTACACTTGCTACAGACGCAACAAGTTTTTGGCGCCGTTGCCGGGGATTTTTTCTTCAACATTGACAGACACCATTAGTATTTGAGATTGAATCTTTTTATTTTTAGCAATTTATATTTATGTGTGAAGTTTTGTCAATTCCAATTCTGGTGTATGCGAGGTACTATTAATCCAAACTCTTTGTTGTTTGATCCAGAATTAGAAAAGACAATTAGGAAGAACAGAAAGGCAGCAAGACAAAGAAAGCTACAAGAAAGGGGTTAATCCAGTGTGACAAATCAGGAAGAGGTCATGGCAGAAAATCACATGCCACCACCACAGAGGACACTGGGAGATTACATGACTCCCACTGTCATTCCACCGATTGGGACTGTTGTTCGACCCACTGTGGAACCTAACAACTTTGAGTTGAAACCTGCACTAGTACAATTGGTGCAGAAGGAACAGTTTGCTGGAACCAGTGCAGAAGATCCATATCTGCACATTGAGAATTTCTTACTTTTGAGCGATACGGTGAAGATCAATGGTGTGACCAGAGATGCTATCTTGTTAAGATTGTTCACTCATTCACTGAAGGATGATGCAAGAAGATGGTTACAATCATTACCTCAAGGGAGTCTCACAACTTGGGATGATCTGCAGACTAAGTTCTTGGCTCGGTTCTTTTCAGCACCAAAGAGGGCAAAATTGAAGGATGAGATTACAGGGTTCAAGCAAAAAGAGTCAGAGTCTATCTATGAAGCTTGGGAGAGGTTCAAGAAACTCTTGAGGAAATGTCCACAACATGGTATTTGTAAGAACCCGCACCGTTAATTAAGGAAGTTAATTAATTAATTATGTAAAATTAGGAAATAATTCCATAATTGACCCTAATAATTATTATGAGGCTTTAATAATTATAGTAAGTGATTAAGAATGCTGAAAGTCGCTTTTCGGAAGAAAAATGCAGATACCGGTTCTGCTAGTCGGTATAAATGCGTACCGAAAAAGTATCCCGAAAAATTATGATAAGTGCATGATAATTACTAGAATAATATGTAGGACTTGTAAAACGAGTTTCAAGTCATAGTTATAAGAACTAGTGCCAGAAACTGATACTGGCTATGAAAAGCGCGTACCGGAAAGGTGCTCGGAAAAATATAAGAAAAATATGATAATTCTTATAAAATTGAGTAGGTTAAGAATCCTGAGTTTGGGATTAAAATGCTAAGCGTAGCAATTAAAGTTAATACTATGTGTTAATTGGTTAAGTGACTATATAAGCTTAGTGCACATGATCCTAGGTCATAAATTGCTGTCTCCTACGTGAGTTTTGCTGAGTCTTGAGTCAACCACCATCTTTCCACCTTCTCCTCCATTGTTGTGAGCCAAGGAGCTTCATTTCTCCTTGGTTTCTTCTCCAAAACACCTTGGGTGAGTGGGAAATACTTGGGTGAGTGTGTTGTGAGCTCCATTTCTGAGTTGGTGGACTGTCTTGAGGGCCTTTGGGTGCTGACTTTGGGAGTTGGTGTAGTTGAGCCATGGTTATGGCATTTTGAGGTCCAAGTGGTGACCTTTGGTGTGAAAGAATCAACCTTTGTGAAGGCATTTTCATTTGGTGTTCAAGTCAGAACCTTGGGAGCTGGTTGTGAGCTCCAAGGGCAGCTCTTTGCCTCTGTTTTGAACCTTGGTGAGTTGTACTACCTTGATCATGGGTTTTTATGGGTTAAAGGTGATGTCTTGGTATGTTTAATGGATTAAACAAGTAACCAACTGTCATATGAACATAAATAGACCTAAAGATACCTGTTTAAGCTTCTGGAAGTGTTAAAAATGGAACCTTGGAAGGATATCTTCGTGAAATGCAGAAACTGCATTCTGTCGCGAAATATCCGGATATCTGCTCGTGAAATATCCAGATATTGTATATCCGGATATGAGGATCTGGATATCCGGATATTGATATCCGGATATTGCCAGAGAGATATCTGGATATTGGATATCTGGATATGCCCCCGAGGAATATCCGGATATTCTGGGTTTGCGAGGAACAGTAGCGTACTGTTCATCCAGAACTGATCTATGGGTTTGTGGACCCTAGTTTGAGGAAGTTGAACTTCTGTAATTAATTAATGTAACTCAGAATCAAAGGATTAAGGGCTTATAGCTTGGTGAGAAGCCTTAAGACGTACAACGTAATGAAAAGGCGTTGTCTTTATGTTGTATACTTGTAGAGTATGATTGTTGATGTATTGTTGGTCCATATCAGATTGTGACTCTGCTGTGTTTGGGCTTGAGTTGTGGACTCTTGGCTTTGGGTGTTAGCTTGCAAGGTAAGCTTTCGTGTCCTCGGTTTAGCCATGTTGTGGTTCCACCATGTCCCATGGGGGTATGGTTATATGCATGCTGTGTTACATGCTTGAATATTTGAAATGCTGTTGAGCTTTATGTGTAATGGCTTTTAATATGCATGTGTTGTTCCATCTTGACGGTAAGCCTGAGTATGTGGCGTCATACAAGACGGTGATCCGGGGTGGATGCAAGTGGCGTCTTGCACTATTTTGTAGGTATTAGACGTATATAAATCCTGCATTTCTCTGGCCAGTAGAATAGAATTGACACACATGACATGATTAACTGCTGCATTGCACTATTTTAGAACTGATGATGATAAACTGCTTTTGAACTTATATTGCACATGTAAGTGAGCTTGGGGTGGAAGATCCTTGAGGACCCCTTGTCTTACCGAGATTTTTTGTTTAGAGATCTCACCCCACGTTTGGGGAATGCTTAATTCAGGTTCAGGTAGTATGGCGACTGATGCCTCTGGCGGCAGGAGGCCAGAGCTTAGTTGATGATATTACTGCTTATTTTCTAGTATGACTGGACTGGATGCTGTTTATGTTTTCCGCATTATTATTATGTCGTTGATGTTGAGACTTACGTTGGGCTTTGTTGCCTTATTTGGGTGAGCATGAGAGTTGTCCATGCCACTATATTGTTAGTACTTTTGAGTTGAGTTGTATAAACTGATAGTTGGTCCGGTCTACGTGTTGTAGTTCCGTGACTAGAGACATACATTATGCTATTTAATTAATGAGGTATTTCAGTTAGCTGTTTTATTGCAATTGCATACAGGCGATGTTTTGAAAATGATTAAGTAATCAAGTTGGTAATGATTAATGACATCATAGTTGAAAAGAAAAAGATATTCCGCAATTTTTTAATTAAGCGCAGCTTAATACGATAGTATGATAACATTACCGGATATGTACGGGGTCTTACATTTATGGTATCAGAGCAATGGTTCAAGGGAAAGGCATGTATGTATTGCAATAGCTAGGATGTTTGGTTGCGTCTGTCTTGTGTGTTTACTCCGTCGAATTTTATTATGATAATGCATATGTAATCACATTGTGTGGGCCTGATCAACTCATAATTTGTGTAACTTGTGCAGAGTCATGGTAAGGTCCGAGAGAACACGAGAGACTTCTGAGGAACAACCCGATCCCCTCCTGACTGCATTGGCTGAGATGCAGGCAGCTAGGTTAGCCGATTAGGAGGCCACTAGATTGGCCAACGCGACAATGATGGACGATGTTCGCGAGGCGAACAGGATGGCGAACATGACGATGATGAGAGTTATGTTGGAGGAGATGAGGGCTGGTCCTGCTGTAGGTTAGTTTCCATAGCCACCACCGCCACCACCGCCGCCGCCTCCACCTAGTGTTCAGGATGAGAGCCTGAGTCACATTGGCAGTGCTACTCATGTCGCTGAGACGATGGAGACCTTGGTAGGGCATGCTGAGGATCGTGACGTGATTGATCGCCGGCTGAATGCTTTCAGGAAGCATAAGCCACCTGTGTTTGATGGGTCTTTGGATCCTATTGCTGCAGCAAGATGGCTTCAGGTGCTGGACAAGATATTCCGGGTCATGCAGTGTACAGACCCGCAGAAGTAGATGTTCTCGACTTACATGCTGGAGGGCGATGCCATGAGTGGTGGACGAACACCTCTCGTGCTTATGAGATGCAGGGTCATGTCATGACGTGACCATTCTTCGAGGAATGCTTTTTGGGCAAGTACTTTCCCTACGATCCACAGGAGAGGAAGCAGGGGGAATTTGATAGATTGGTTCAGGGCTCGATGTCTGTTGACAAGTACCTGGCCAAGTTAAATGAGCTTGTGAAGTTTGCGCACTTCTGGATGGTTCCTCTTACTCTGATATTTCTGGCTGCTAAGTTCCGCAGAGGACTTAGTGAGAAGATTGCTGAGCATATTGCTGGAGCTGCTTCGGGGGATTTTGGTACACTGGTTCAGCAGTGTCAGGACATTGAGGATGTCTGCATAGCGAGCAAGGCCAAGAGGGCCAAGGTCGACGAGACCAAGGGGACTGTTAGTTCCACTCCTTCTCCTACTTCTTGGAAGGACAAAAAGTTTGCTGGGAAGGGCAAAGGTAAACAGTTGGCGACTAGGCAGGAGCCTGGTCAGTTGAAGAGGACTGCTTCACAGCAGAAGAGTTTTGCTAGGCCTCTTTCCACTCCGAGATGTGCGGGGTGCGGAAAGGAGCATGCAGGTCATTGTGCTTCGGGTCAGTTGATCTGTTTCCAGTGTGGCAAGGAGGGCCACTTCTCTAGAGACTGTTCGTCATCGACAGCGAGAGCTGCAGCTGTTCAGGCAGTTCCTTTGCAGATGGTTCCGATGGCTTCTACTTCGGCACCTGCGGTGCCACCTTCTGTTGGGCGTGTGTACACCTTGGATAGGCAACAATCGGACCGTGCTCCGAACCTTGTTAGAGGTACTGTGTCTATTGGTGGTATTGCTATTGATGCATTGTTTGATTCCGGAGCTACGCATTCGTTTGTCGCTACCCCGATTGCTTTGGGGCTTGAGTTGCCCATGTCGGTGCTTTCTCCACCGTTGCGGGTGACTACCGCCACCGGAGAAATATGTGATTCTACCACTGTACATCGCGATGTAGCGTTTAAGTGGGACAGCCGTGAGTTCTCGGCGGATCTGATAGGATTGCCGATGGCCAACTTGGAGATTATTCTGGGCATGGATTGGTTGTCTAGAAACTGTGCACTGATTGATTGTTGTGCAAAGCGCGTAGTGATGTCTCTGTGTGATTCCACAACTAGTTCCTCGCCATATATTTCATTGCTGCAAGCTAGGAAGACCTTGAGAGCAGGGGCATTTGGTTATGTCATGTTGGGAGGTTTGGTGAGTGGGACATAGGAGGATATCACTGGCATTCCTGTGGTGGGGGAGTTCCTCGAGGTGTTTCCTAAGGAGACTCCTGAGTTTCTGTCACAGCGGGAGATAGAGTTCTCCATTGATTTGTTGCCTGGTGTGGGGTCGATTTCATTAGCTCCATATCGGATGTCGCCACCGGAGTTGGCTGAGCTGAAGAAGCATATTGAAGATCTTTCAGCGAAAGATTTCATCCGGCTGAGTGTGTCTCCTTGGGGAGCACCGGTCATCTTTGTGAAGAAGAAAGACGGGACAATGCGATTGTGCACCGACTACAGGCAGTTGAACAAGGTGACGATCAAGAACAAGTATCCCCTTCCTCGGATTGATGATCTGTTGGATCAGCTCAGGGGTGCTTGCGTGTATTCAAAGATTGATCTCCAGTCCGGATACCATCAGATTCGGGTGAAGCCGGAAGATGTCCCTAAGACCGTGTTTCGTTCGAGATACGGTCACTTTGAGTATTTGGTGATCCTGTTTGGACTCACCAATGTGCCGGCAGTGTTCATGGATCACATGAACAGGATTTTCTAGCCGTATCTGGATCAGTTTGT